TCAGTGCATGTCACAAAACGAGATGCATTGTGGGACATGTAGTTTATGGGCAACGTGCTTCTTTAAAGTGCATGTAACCGTATAATAAACGTATTATATTATTTGCAAGCTCTTGCGGGCCACATAAAATGAAGTCGCGGGCCGGATTTGGCCCCCGGGCCTTGAGTTTGACACCCCTGACTTAATATATTTAATTAAAGTCAACGTTCCAGTTTTTTCAGTGTATATATATATAACAGTGTTTGTTTACAGTTGTAATGATGAAGCCAGATTTGCCTGTGATATATTATAAACGCTTTGTCAGTCAAAAATCCAATATTGAATTAAAAATGTTATATATATCTATATATTTGAGAGGCTTGAAACAGTATTTTCTGCCATTGGTGTGATTATTATTATTATTAATAATTTAAATATGAAAATGGTTAGCGCTAAAAAATAAAATGTGACTCAGCAGCACGAATCTATTATAAACATGGATGTCAATGTTTGGAAATAACTAATTGCAATTATTTTTGACTGATATTGCAATTGCGAAATGATTCTCGATATAAGAGGGAATGATCATTTTTGAAACATTATTACATTATCATTAAAAAATATATATTGAAATGATCATGGTGTGATTTTTCAAGAGGAACTGTTCGAAACAAAGTCAAATATTGTTTGCAAACTGGGACGTCTCTGCAGCACCACAATACTTTATCTCAATATTGCTCTTACTGCTATTTGGAGATTGTACTCGACAATGTTTTGCAAGTTTTATCAAATTTATATTTATTGTGCGACCCTAGTAGTTATTTTCTTCTTCGCAGTATTCCTCCGTCTTTGTTTTCTCAGTCTTTGCCTCACCTCTGCATGGCTGCCAGGAGTCAGAGTCTTGCTGCACCTCTCACAGCGCAGACAGGGTCGATGCCAGTCCTTACCCAGTGATGTCACCTTCTCAGCTATTTTTACACACACACACACACACACACACACACACACACACACACACACACACACACACACACACACACACACACACACACACACACACACACACACGTGAGACACCATGGCAACCACTTTGCAGGTTCACACCTTTCCAAAACATTTTTCCACCTCACCTTTTGTCCCTGAATGTGTTAACTACTCACCAAAATACACCTTCTTGCTGCATCGGGGACACAGGTTGGCCTCTCCAGAAAAGGTGGTGATGCTTCCAGCAGCTAAAAAATTTCACACAAACACACATTAAATTACTGCAAAGGCAAGAAAAACTATTGAATTATGACCACCAATCTTTCGAGTTAGGTGTGAAAAACAGGGTGCTAATAATGAAACCAAATGAAATTGAGCTTAATATTTAACAGTTTTTATATGTTACAACAGGGAATAATTAAGTTAAGAGGCTAATTACGACAATTTGACATATTCTGGTTGCCAGGATACTTCATTACTCCAATCAGGAGAGTCATCGGAGGTTTAGTGAACATGTAGTGTTGTTTTCAGACAGCAGGTGGCGCCAAACAGCAACAACACTGGTTTGGTGTTATTCTGTCATAAAACAACCTACACATACACACTTTTTTTCCCAACATATTAATAAAGAATAAATAAAAGCACAAAGATTAAATGATACTGCAAACTTGAGCACATAGAAACTAAAACCTTAAACAAACTATAAATAGCATGAAAACTAGGTGTTATGATTAAAGCACATTTAAAAGCGATTTTTGGTCGAGCCAAAGTGCTGTACATGTAATAAAAACACATTACTACAATCACAATAAAAGAAAATAATTATAGTCAGGGAATAGTCAGGTGTCGTACTCTGCTCTGACCAGAAGGCCAGAGAGAAAAAGTGTGTTTTTAGTGAGGATTTCAAAAACCCTAGTGTCTGGGCCGACCTCACATTGAGGGGCAGAGTGTTCCAGAGCCTGGGGCCAGCTGCTGCGAAGGCTCGGTGCCCTCAGGTTTTGAGCCTGGTCTTGTGCACTATCAGCAACAGCTGGTCAGCAAACCTTAAAGCTCTGGCTGGGGTGTAGCGCTGGAGGAGTTCGGCTGTATAGGCAGGAGCCAGCCCATTTAGGGCTTTGAAAACAAATAAAAGGATTTTAAAATCAATTCGGAACCGAATTGGAAGCCAGTGTAGTTAGGCCAGACTTTCCTCTTTATTTGATTAGATAAAAGCCTTTCAACACTGTAAAGTATTCCGAAGATTGTATGTTATATGGCAAGTTATTTCAAAAGTTAGCCCCTGCACATTGAAGGGTTTTATGTCCAGAGAACAAACAAAAAATCCTTAACCTTTGCTGAGTCTTCTAGCTTCAAAAACCAAGTGAGTAGAAAAAAGCCATTAACAGAAAAGTGCACAGCGGAGACCAATTGAAGAAAAAACAGATAAAGGGTTTTTGTTCCTGCTGACAGGGGAAACACACCCGATCTGACACGTCTGAGAAAATCCTCCTGAGGTCCCAAAAGACTTTGTGTATCGACGTTCTTATCATTGAGTAAGCAACAGCTTTCCTTTGACCTACTACACAAGAAGTCTAAGGGAAAACGACCCTATGAACTATCTTTCTCCCTGCTAGTCAACGCTCGCTGATAGATCCACAAATATAGTACACACTGTACGAATAACATGCTTCTGAGTTACCTTTGGGTGCTGCCTTGGGGACAAACACTCGCTTCTCCTCAGCTTTTGGGGCTGAATCCACGCTGGTGGGGTTGTTGTTGGCGGGAGCATCGTACACATAAGAGCCAGCTCCACCGATGTTCACTCCTGAAAAGAGAAAATATTTGATTTGATATCTGACATAATAAATACTTTTTTTTTTTTTAAATAAATGAATAGAATATTACAAAAATGAATACCTTCCATAAATACTTTATTGATAAATAAATACATATTGGTAAATAAAAAGATTGCAGCTATCTAACAGCAGTAGCAGTTGAACAAGTCAAAGAATATATAGACACGTGAATACAAAAATAGATAAAAGTAGTTTTTGTAAAAAATAAAATGCACTCTTTGTTATTGGTTTGTTATTTTATTTACCAATGTTATTGGTTTGTTATTTTATTTATTAATCACACTACTGATCTATTTGTGTTTTGATTTTTTTTTTTTTTATTGTATTTACTTATCTATTTATTGGTGATTAAGTATTTTTTGTGCCTCCATTCTAAAAACCTTTTACAATATAGTTAGTCAATAAACAAACCAAGTAACACAATACTAGAGAGTACACAACAAATCCAGTTAATATACTGTAAGAGAGTACAATCAAAGTCTAGTAAAGATGCTAAAACAAGTGAATGTAGTCATTTATGCTGAATAAAAGTACATGAGTATTACCTTTTGGCCCAAAGAGGGCAGCATAGCACGGTTTGTGGCAGTAGGGCCGTCCATCGTGCTGTGGGAGAGACAGAAAAACATCAGTGACATCTATATAAAATAAACATACTCAATGAAACCCTGATGACGCAAATGGGAAAAGGCAATGACATGTTAAAGTATAGTCATTTCACACTTTTTCTGACATCGTATATTTTGGTTTGGGGAGAAGATGGAAAGATTTAGTCCAAAAACGTATACAAGACTCTTTCTTTCCATTTCAACACATAATAATGACGCCGGCTGTATCCAAGAAACAGGACTCTGTTGATTTGCCAGCACCGAGAGGACGTGTCCCTACCCCACCTGAGGGGTCAGTGTGAGACATAGATGGCTCGCTGCTGATGCATGCTGGGAATGTGGCGGTCATTGCAGGAGCATGTGACCAGCTTGTGAAGGGGATCAGGGCCGAGGGCCACTGGTCCAGAGCCCGATGCCCATAGAAGAGAAGAAACAAGCGAATGACACGGGAACGATGCCAGAGCCTGGGTGGTGAGGGAAAACCCTCCAGGAAGAGAGCCAGGCTTTAAAGTCGGGCTTCAAAATCATATATAATGATATTTTTAAACACATATCTTTATGGATACTGTAGAGATATTGTAGGGTTGACCATGGATAATTACAGTGTATTTACTCCTTGGGAATTTTTATAAATAACAATTTGTTTGTGGGTACACATAACATGCAAATAACATAAGATCAACAGTCTTAGAAAGTGTCATTACTTTTCTGTAAATCACCTTACAAACCAGGGAAAATCGTTTTTACCCTCCTGAATTCATTTGACAAAACCGGTACCAGCCGACACTGAGCGCTGGGATTCAAGAAAAACTCATAGGGGCCCATAGGATGCGAAAAAAGTGATTTTGTATTAAAAAGGCCAATTTGAACAACAACTTTCATAGGAATGAATTGGCCCTTCCTCCAATGCTGTATCTAGTTATCTTTCTAATCTTGTATTAGATAAAAAAGGGACAAACTACCCACAGTCCCTTCTGCTTTGGCCACATGAGCTCCGTTACGTCAGAAGACTGTGAGGCAGAGTAGAGGATTCTTCTCTCACGTTAAATAATGAATTAACCGTGACAGGATCAGCTACCGTTAAAGCACTCTCTCACTTCCTGTTTGACATTTATGAGATCCTTGAAGGTCCGGACAGCGCTGCCTTGACTAAGCACTGATGACTTTCTCAGGACAGGACACACATAGGGCTTCATTGTCAAGTCAAGGGAGAAAGGTCAAAGGGTTTGTTAACAGTCTGCTGTACATTACTGGCTCTGGCTGTGAAGCAGAGGGACCCTAAAAATGGATTGTCCATCTTTACACACAGCCCACTCTCTTCCCAGAAGCTCACTTCCCACATCCTGACACTTAAATCTGTTTTCTCCATCTTTTTCATTCCTGTCGTCATCCTCATCTTAATCTCCGTGCCTCATTGCTTCGAACTCTGCTCACGCACTTTGCTGGGCTTCAGTCCCTGGACAAGAGACCAGAATGCTAGTGGATTCACTTTTTACCACTAGCTGATTTTGATCTGCTTTTTTTACTTGCTTGCAGGCTTATGGCAAAGTCACTTCATGTCTTAACAGGTAGCTATTTTAAAAGAAAGATGCTATCAAGTGGCCAGACAGTTCCATTAAAACAGCGATGTTTCCCTCTTAGATTTTATCATTTGAATGATTTTTTTAGAGCCTAAAGTAATTGCAAGCATTGAGTGTTTTTCCTTATAAAAATTACTTATGTGTATCCACCAATTTTACTTAAGAAGTCACTTTACAGGTCTTAGTGAGTACTACTTCACATGTGAGCTACATGAGCCACCATAGCTCACTTGGTAGAGCTTGAGGCCCATATACTGGGGCTGAGGACCCAGGGTCAAATCTGGCCTGTGACCATTTGCCATGTGTCATCCCCTCTGTCACCCTCCTTTTAACACTGTCACTTCAATAAAAGGCACTGATTAAATAAATTGGGGGTGTGGAGTTAGAAAGAATTTAGTTTAACAGATCTTTGTATCCCACTTCTCATCTTTGGCTCCATTAGCGGCTACTAGCATAGCAATCCAGAATCTCTGACCAAAATGTTGGCTAAAAAGCATGGAATTAAAAAAGGCTATATCTGCGGTTCAGCTGCATAGATTTGTATCCTTATCTCAAAAGATGTATCCGAAAAGTATTTAATTCAAGCACAATTTCATGGCTGTTTGGATTCATAGATATTTATCACTGGAGAAAATGTTTCCCTGAACTCAAAATCTCCCGTCTGTACGTTCATATTTCACTCCGTTAAGACTCTGACAAGTAGATCTGCATTCAAATACTATCTTGGTCTTTAAGGGGCAACAATGAGGACTTGTCACCTTTTCCTTTCGGAAGCCTGGCTCTCTGCCCAGGCTGCTGCCCTCATTCGCCCTCAGACGACAGGCCACGGTCGCCAGTTTCCTTTTAAAGAAGCAGTCAGTATTTCTCTGAGGGTCTTAACCTTCTGCATACCAGGTCTGAGATGACATCAAGCACCCGCAGTCCCCTTTACATGCTTTAAAACAAAAAGTATACATCTCTAAACCTTGCTCTGTTTCCATGACGATGATTAAATATTGATTTTTTGCCTAGTAAAAAGTCAGGCTCGTGGCACGGTGCTGCAGCCCGGGGCGGGCATGTGGATGCTGTCCATGGAGAGGGAGAGAGAGAGAGAGAGGGAGAGAGAGAGAGAGAGAGGGAGGGCAGATTGTGTTACTACATTACTGTAATCATGCTGAGATTAAACAGCAGCGCAGAAGCAGCATCCTTTGGGGTCTGCAGGGATTTTGCTTTTGTGTACAAAAACGCTGAAATCAAATCCTCTGTGTGTTGAGAAAAGAGCGGGAAAGTCATCCAATAACAAAAATGGCGAGGATGAGATTGAAGTGCTGGTTGGGTCACAGAGGGCAACATAAAAAAGGGCTTGATAAGAAAACCTCCGGTGGGCGGGGGTCTATATGTTGAGACGTGATACTGCGATGTGATTATGCAACAGAGAGGAAGAAGAGTGCTCATCCTGGAGGGGTTACAATTCCCAAAAGGACATCTCATATTGACAGATGCAGCCAGACACACAACACGGAAGGGAAAAATGCATGAACTCAGCAATTTCCTGTGCAGAAAGCACACGTTCTGTGGGGTGAAATGAAAGAAAAGAACATCATATCTTTGTAAAGCAGAAAAACACTTCCAGTCTTAAGAGCTGGTCTCATCTTTGTTGGTTTCACTTTGGTAACGTTTTTCACATTAATGCAGCCGATGGCCAATAGGAAGCCGTCTTAATGGTGCTGACGAAGAGCCTTAGAGTTCAACACAGGAAGGTATTGTAGCTTATTAGCTAAGTGGCTTCACTCACTTTCATTTAACCTTCTGTGTTGCAGTAAAAACTGTCTCTCAGAAAAGGGATGATTTACTGACTAGGAGACAGGAGTCATTGGTGCAAAAACATCCTCCCCTTCACTAAATAAGTCCTTATTGGATTCATTTATGAACAATCCTGAGAGGGAACATGAGGGAGTAAACGACACAGAAAAGAGAAAATAGAAGGAAGCTATAAAAACAGGGAGCAACTAACAATACTATGTTCTTCGCTGGCTAGCATGTTAGCGGTTAGCATCTCCAGCCACTGTAGATCACAAACGAGGTCTGAATGTAGTCTCTAGCATATATTACCAATATATTTTCAATATAAAACATTACTCTTGAGTACTGAACATACATACATGACATACATCATTCGTCATAATGCCAATCGCTGAAACCTGCTAACGGTTTCCTAAAAGCGTTACCATTAGCATAGCTTTTAGCATGTTTCATTGAGGATCCACTGTAGAGGCATTCTGTCAATAAGTCAATACATGACCAGGCAGAACTGGCTTCCCCTTTTTAGATTTCACCACTAAAGTCAATGAACTGAACAGGAATATTGTCATGAAGTTTGTTTGACCTCGTGAGCTCAACCGACTGTGCTGATATTTCATACAGAAAGACAACATAACTTCCAAAAATAGAAGTTGCATTAACATTGGAAAGCCCTTAAAGTCCATTCAGAGAAGCCATTTGTGTGACACTTTCAGCCACAGTGCTTCACAGCAGCACTGAGTGCGTAGAATGTGAGCATGAATGGCCTCAGTGGGAAGTGAACTCCTACCCGAGGCAATATGCGAGATGTGCTCCATACACAGAGCCACTATACAGCATAGAAAGAGTCCATAACACTGCCCCAGTTACAGAGTAGTACATATCTCTTCATCCTGGTTTCCCTTGAAAAATTCACCATTCAGTTACACTGTTAATAGAGGCTGTGTTTAGACCCTGCTATGTGCCTTGAAGCAAGAAGCTGAAGTAGTGTAATTTACCATTTTTCAACACTATCTGGTAGTTTAATATTACAATACAATGAATCCTATTTTACAAACAGACCATAGATTTGAATTCTTAATCTGTAAATCAACTTTGAGATAGATTTACATTATTGGAGTATTGAGTTAATTATTTAACTCTGATAGGTTGTTTTATGGCATAGTTTGAAAGTTAAATGAGTAGATGAATAGTAAGAAAACTTGAGTAGATGTACTAAGTTACTTTTCACATGTTTATAATTGTGTATGTTATTAAACGATTATATAAAATGTGCTATTTTTGGTATATTTCCATTTGTTTATTTTACCGTTTCTAATCTCTCTTTTATTCACGTTGTGTGCACTGCCTTGACGCAACAAATACAATCAAATCTCTTGAGATCTCACTAGTTGCAGCACCAGAGAAGACAGATTAGTATCAGATGCCTTTAATTTCAGCAGTGAGAGGACAGAGTTGTACACTTAGTGGTGGCTTCCTACTGACCTCAGCGTGGCCTCCGGCGTTCAGGAGCTTGTTGCAGCGGTCACACTTGAGACACATCTTGTGCCAGTCTTTCCCCAGTGATGACACCTTTTCAGCTGCACATGAAAGACAAAAGAATTGAGGGGATGAGTGCAAACATTCACATAAAGCAGCTTTTATACACATGACTATGCCCAACAACCATCAATTGTTTCACGCTTTGTGTGCGTTATAATGTGGCGTTCAAATCACTCATCGCTGAGGGAATCACGCGCCCTCGTTGCTTCACTCCCCAGAATAATGATTAGCTTGTACTGTATTTGTGGGCTGATTCCCCTCGGGGAAATTGTGCCAACCGAGAGACTGGGGGGTGGGAGATACTGTGCAAAGGCCTGTGTACCACAACAGGATGCAGTAATGATGTCATTGCGGGATAAACAGAGTGGCGTGACGTGAGCCCCCGTCCAGCTGGAACAGCAGGGGGGTTCCCACATCTAACCCAGATCCTTTGTATCCCCTCTCCTAAAAACACACACACACACACACCCCTCCCCCAGTTTACAGTATACCCATCCTGCTGCAGACGGCCCTTCAACCCCATTTCCGTCCCCTTTTCTCTCCCAGACAAGCGAGGGACCCCTAATTATACCCTTTCCAACAATAAATCTCTGCTGCTTCCACACAATGGACCCCAAGGAGTCGTGCAGGCATCAGAGGAAACACCTTCTCTTATCAAGGCAGGGCAGAAATAATAGGCGGATGCTGGAGTCTGTTTCCTTTATACCTCCAGTCACAAACACACACAAACAAACAGCATGAATGCAGACACACAGACGATCACTTCCTGCTGCGTGTCCTCTCTCTGGCTGCTTTCACACATGTACCATAACCTGTATAACTGCTGTCAAATTCCTGCGTCAGCGTCACGTCAGGAGGCACAGGAAATCACACATCATAGAGCGGAGAGTCACTTTCATGGAATTTAAAGAACTCATTTGTTAAAAGAAAAATAAGGCTGTACGATATGATGAAAATGCATTAACAGTGTTGAATGTAGCGAGACTAATATTGCTTGATACATTAACTGATATTCAAATTGCTTGTTGAACCAAAAAAAAAGTGAGGGAGATATATTTGATTATCCTTTTTTTGCACTGCTGAATATTACACGAAAAAAAAAGGGACCAAATTAAAAAGAGAATTACATTTGAAGGTGCAATTTCCACTGATCTTTTACAATGTTTTTACGAGTTTACGTTGCAATGATGGTCAAATAAAACATTCTGCAGCCGTACCAAAAACAATGCAGAAAGAATAACGAAATGTGGACTTAATATAAAATGTCACGAAAGGTAAAACATGAATTTAAGGAGCATAAAATAACTGGTTAATCAAGTATGAAAATAGCTAAAATGTAAGTAGTAAAGTAATTATTTTGGGTTTTATGACTTTTCAAAACCAGAAAAAGGAAAAAGCAAGCATGAGCCATTGCCAACATGAGTTTGAGAGACCTTAATATTGTTCCTTTTATGGATTGTTAATATACTAATTTCAGCGTTGACCAAATAAGTTCCATGATTTTGTTCAGAAATTTGATTTAATTCGATGTGAAAATTATGTTATGGGTATCATATTCTGGAAAATGCTTCTCAGGATTGCTTTAGGAGATCAGACTACTCCCTATAGAGCTTTCTGTTTGCTCTCCCATCAGCTCTCCTTGTCAATTATAAAAACACAGAGACAAATGGCCAAACAAGGCCCTGGAGAGGAGCTGGAGACGAGGAGCGTGACCTCCCATCAACACGTCAGCAGAGGAATGCTGACTTGGACATAGCAAAGTGTCGGAAATGCTAAATCACTCTTAAAGATACTGTTATTCAGAGTAAGCCGACAATGAATCATTCTTTAAAATCAATAATATGCTCTTAAATCAGATGACCACAAAACCTTTAGAGACAGCCACTTGAGTTAAAAGGACGCTCTCGCTGGTTATACTCAAGCAAAATGAGTTTGTACATGTTGTCCAACCACATCAGTTATGTTAAATGTGTTTATATGTATTGCATCATTCTAAGGTGGAGTGAAAAGCAGGTCATAATTGAGAGGGAGGGAAATGGCACATATTGTCTCCTGAAAGTCATTCATAGTGCTGCACTTAGTTGTTCACATATAAAGTAAACAGAAATAGTGTAAAAAATGTAATCGACATTTAATTTAAAATTCAGTTTACAAAAGATTTTCCTCTTGCTCTTTGGTTTGTTTCACTTAAGCTCACTTTTAATTCACCTAATACGTTGACATAACTAAGTTTGAGTTTCCAGAAGCCTTTCCAGTCATTACCACCACACGGGACAGAGGTATTAGTTACTAAATCATCTGAAAATTCAATGAATACACTCTCCTATTGAAGTAATAGAATTTGTGGTGGATACATTGATTTAGTGTCTGACTGCAAGTTATGGAAAGCAACAAAGAAGATCAGAGTCAGACACAGTAAACACAGTAACTTTTGCCTTCTCTATTCCCTGTTATATCAACAGAGCAAACCTTAAAACACCTTTACAGCATGTGATGTTTACATAGAGAACAAACCTGGAACCAGCAGTAGTTTAACCGGTCTGCTCTTGAGACAAGTGTGTGTGATTTATTTCCTCCTAAGGACACCCATATACCGACTACCAGCTCTACAGTGTTCAAAATGCTGCCAGCGATTGCTCAGCATTTCATTTTCAGTGTGTGTGTGTGTGTGTGTGTGTGTGTGTGTGTGTGTGTGTGTGTGTGTGTGTGTGTGTGTGTGTGTGTGTGTGTGTGTGTGTGTGTGTGTGTGTGTGTGTTCTTGTTGTCGACTGACTCACGAACAGACACACCTCCACACAGCTTTGACAGTCAGTGTGTGAGTGGACGTCAGAGCCTTGTCTCTGACGGAGTGTGTCCTCATTCAGTCTGTGACTGTGTGTGTGTATAAACAAGTCCACTGTTTAACAGCTATGTTTTAAAGGCCAGTTGTTGTTATTATAAGAGGGGTGAGTCTCTCTGTCTGTCTGCATTATGTGCTGTAGGAGTTAGAGTGGGGGAGGTGGAGGGGATCTGCCTATGGTCCAGATGTTTATACCCACCCAGCTGCAAGCAAGCCTCTATCCTCATTATCCTTCATGCTGTGCAGCTTGACCAGTGAAATTAAGCCAGAAAATGTGCGATTGGTTTGAGATTTCTTAGGATCTAATAAAAAAAATCGAACTCACTGCACCAATGAACCCACATTAGGCTCTTTGTCTCCTAAAATAGTAACGTGTGGGCTCAAATTAAGCAACTGAACTGCCACCATGTCCTCCTTCACCTCGTTACGGCAACAACCTGAGGGTGAAAGCACCCACTTGTGTAAACAAACAAACTGCTGTTCACAGGGAAGTCTCTCCGGATATTCACATTTAGATTGTCAACATCGATGAGGATGTGCCAAATCCTTTTTAGCCAATTCTGTTTACTCTCTCACGACAAAATCAGTCACAAGCACACAACAAAGGATTCCCCTGTTGGTGCGACGTAAACAGTGGGACAGCTTTGGGGAATCACTGCTAAAGAGTTGTAGTTGAAAAGAGTTGTACGACTATTAAACACCTGAACTTTGAAACAACATCCATAACATTAATCTGGCTGCTACTTAGAAATGATTTATCTAATATATCATATTGCAATAACTTGTATAGACTCTTATTGCACTTTCACTTTTTTTTTTACTATTTTTTTTTTTGTATTTACTATTTACTTGCACTATTTGTCTGTGTTATTGTGTTGCCTGTGACCTAAGATTTTCATCGTCATAACTACACTATAGCTATGTTCGTATGACCAATAAAAGCCTTGAACATCAAACCTGAAATGTGCGTAAAACTTGCTGTAAACCAACTTTAAGAGTTACTTCAAATAAGCAGAAGCTCACTTTTCCAGAAACATTAAACGCCATATATTTAATGCGAGTATGACTCCTGTTTAGGATGTCATCTCCAAACTAAACGGATCACGAGACGAGATAAGTCAGTATCTGTGAGGCTTAACATCTCGGGTGAACCATTTCCTGAGGGAAAAGCTGCAATAGCAATCCACCTTCAGTGAATATAACATGCCAAAAATATCAGACGAGGTCCATCCGTGAGATTTGACCTGATTGTTTGGGATTGGTCCAAGGGACTGCAAAACAGATCATATAGATTTGAAAAATATGTGTAAATATTACCTTTAATAAGAGAGAACATGGATCTTTGGAATAGATTTAAAAAGTCCAAGAAAATAAGTTAATAAAAGTGTCTGTATGTTTTACAGCTGTAAAGGTTAAAGGTGGGGTAGGTAAGTTTGAGAAACCGGCTCGAGAGACACTTTTTGTTATATTCCATGGAATGCTCTTAACATCCCGATAGCAATGAATATCTGAAGTGCTTTGACAAAAAATCTGTGGAAGCCGTAGTACTGTAAAAAGCACGGCCCGGCTAAAATAACTGGATGGCCTACCTGCCTGTCAGCCTTCCATCTGTGCACAAACTTATCTCGTGCCCTCATTGGTCATGTGCGCATTCGTGTGTGTTGGAGGAGGGGCTCTGTAAGTAAGTGGCAGTTGTTCTCCGGTTGTGTATTTTCAAATTCTAGCGCACTCAAGCTTGTTTTTCAAAATGGCCTACCCCACCTTTAAATGTGTGGGGTTGCTGGCATTGATAAAGTGTTTCATTTAATTCTTCCAAGTAAAAATATCCTGACATGTGTTGTATTCAAATGTACTTGCTTCAGAGGTCCAAAAAACATCTTGATTTGTGGGAATTCCTCACATTGATATCATCATTTAAATCATAGGGCAAAAACGTTATGGCTGCCAAGGGGTGGGGACTCTTTTGCTTCTACAAATAAATGTTTATGTTAGCCACATAAAGAACTGAGTGACAGACAATGTGACTGCAGGAACACTGAGCTCCAGGTGAGAGGATGACGTAATAATGAAAGCAGAGGTCTGGGCAGAGATCAGAGGTCATCACCATCCCCATTTGATACCTGCACCCGTATAAGCTGCTTAGCTTCATTTGTAAATTCTTCATCTAAGCTCTGCAGTCTGCGGCCGGATTCTCTTATT